ACGTATAAATTTATTGTTTTGAAGTTTAGATGAAGATGTAGTATTCAATTTATTATTTTCGTCTATACTCAAGTTTTAGACTCCCATTTATAGCTTTTGAATGCTTTGTAATCTATCTGCCGCCCCCTCAAAGATAGGAATGAAGAAAAAGTAAAATGACAACTTCGACAAAAATCCAAAGACTATGATGAAGATGGATGAAAATTATCAATAAAAACAAAGTAAAAGGTTAAGCTTTTCTTGAATGATATATTGACAATGATTAAAATGTAATAAAATTACATGTATAAATTAAGATTACTTTCAAGTAAATTAAAATGCATATATATAGCAAATAGTTTATCCTTTATCACTTAGTCAATACCTTAAAAAGAAATCATTGATAAAACTAGTGCATTTCATTGATTCTTACCAATTTGTTGATGTATACTTGGCAGTACTGTTGGAAAGAATCAAAATGATAAGTATCATGGTGGCCTTGTTAGTGTGGTCCTCTTTGCAAGGAAACACTCACATAAATAAATAGATGGTAATAATCAAGGCTAGTAAGTCTAGAAGCATTAGCAATATAGAATAGAACAAGAATTCTTTGACCACTCTATGCCAACAGATATGTAACATTTTAGGAGCAACCTTAGCTTGAATTTGGGTCAATAGATATGGCATAAAAGGGTAAGCCAGAAAACTTAGATATGCCCACTAAACTACAAAAGCAGCTTCATGAGGGAAAGTTTGTGGCTCAAGAATCCTATGCATATGGTTTTCTTCTCTATACGCCAAAACCTCACATCACTCCTCCATGAGTGTTCTCATCCAAGTACTTTACTTTTCATTTTAATTTTAACTCACATCATTGGCTTTGTATCTAAATTATGTAGTATATATTGATAATCAATAATAATAATAATAAATAAGTTTATGTACAAAATTTTATAAAAAGGCACACCTTTGTGCATCTACATATTCTCACTTCACAAGTTAATTTGCTTACTGAGGAAAAGACTTTGAAGTCACCCAAAAAAGATAAGAACAATTGTTAAAATGCTTATGGCATCTCTTTTGGATTTCACGGCCATGATATATGTAAAGTTGCTTTGGTGATGTAAGGCACAGGACAGTGAAACCCAACAACAATTGAGCTATGATTCCAATCCTTTACCACTTTTGTACCCATTCCAACACAATCATTCTCAGATGAATCCCTCCCTGTCAAATTGAGGTGAGATATGGGTCTCAATCATCTGTCTCTTACTCAACAAAAGTAAAAACCAGGCAAGAATTGTAAATATATAGGTCAAAAATAGTTGTAACATACTTTATATCATTAATTCTTTCTTTCCGACCTTTTTGATATTTCTATGGACACTGATTATCATCACATTCAGAATTGACCAGCAATGGCGACAGGATTTACATGAGTCCAAGGTGAACTAATTTTTCACTTTTTTCTAACCGTTAGTCATGTGACTTCCTAGAAAGTAAAAACTTATTCTCAAAGATAAAATAAAAATATATATATATATATATATACTAAACTTCTTTCAAAAAAATATTGAAAGATGAATACTCTAGTTTTCTCAACTTCAATTTATTTTATCTAACAAGGAAACTTATTTTGTATTCATTGTTCAATTATATATATTCTATTTTGTTCTTCTTTTATCTTTTTTTATTTTTTTCAAAATTATATTTAGAAATTATTTCCATTTTCATTTTAGGAAAAATGAAATTTACCAGAAATGTTTATTTAAAAATGAAAATCTTTGAAATTAAATTTCTGAGAAGAAATTCTTCCAGTACTCCCCCCTCCCCCTAATTTTTCTTAATTTTTGAAACATTAATCTACATTTAATTCCTATTGTTTTTAAAACAATAAGTATGTTTGAATTATTTTTTCACAAAATCTTATGAATTTAATTTTAATACACTTTACAGTAAAATATATATTATCAATTAGAATACACTGTGAATATAATTTTTTATTAATTATTACATAAATTAATAGTTTTTATATAATAATTCATAATTAAATATAGTAGCCTTCAATGTAAATTATAAGTCTTACAAGTAATTTGTTTATAAAAGATTAATAGAAGTCAATTTAAATAGTACATGTTTGATTATTTTTCAGTAAGATCTTAGGTTTGAATTTTAGGTATAAAAATTATTAAAAAAACTAGTCCTATTATAAATAATTTTGATTAAACAATCTTATAGTTCAATTCCTGTATGAGAAATTTTTTATGAATTAATTTTTATTATTTATTAAAATTATAATGTAAAAATTATTAAATAAGGGATAATATTGAGTCATAAATTTTTATGTAAGATAAAATAGTATAGAAATTTATATAAAATTTAAAATTAATTATAAAGATAGATTTATAACTAAACCTAATTAATTTTTTTCACAAAGAAAATAGTTTGTGTTGTATAGCTATTTTGCAAGTAATTCTTCACCCAGACACATGATACCCTATAGACGCTCTGTAAAGGGTTCAACGCTAAAAAAGAAATTTCACGTCATACGATGGGGTAATAATATGTGAGAGTACTTGGGGTTTTGACTTGTGAGTAATTAAGCTTTGATAATGGTACATTACCTCTAATTAATAAAAAGTTTTGGGTAAAAATATGAGTCAATAATTAAGAGTTACTGTATACATATATGATTGATTATGATTTTTATATGGTTCACTTGCCCCTAAGTAGGACACTGCGTTAATTAGCTAGTACAGGGGAAGAAAAAAAAGAAAAATGTGGGGTACTCTCCTGTGATACTTACATATCTGCACAATCTTTTATGAAGATTGAGAAGAAAATTTAGGTTAATAATTGGCTTAATTGCATGCATCTTACGGTACTAGCATGAAACCATGAACGTGTGAATGTTGAATTTTTTTTATATATTTAAATTAAAAATAAATATACAATAATTGATAGATAAACATTTTTTATCTTAAATTACTACGAGTATTTTTTGCTAAAGAAAATGATTCATATATAAAATTTTAAAATTCATCACTGAAATTTAGTTTAGCGATTAAAATATACAACCATAATAAATTATTTATTTATGAATATCGAACCTTAAAATTAATTTATAGAGTCTAAAAGCGTTATTTTTAAATATATACTAACAAAATTTTGTATTTTAAAATAGTTAAAATGGATTCTGATAATGGTAAGTGAACATTTTCTATTTATTTTTGGGTACAAGTACAATGAGAAAGGGACAAAGGTTGATAAAAATGTGGTAATAAAAAAGATAGATGGTGGAATTAGTAAAGAGGGGGCGTAATGCTGAGTGTTGACGTTGCTCACTGATCACCGCTTACTTAGCAGATTCATGCACTGTGCTTTTTCTGTTCTTTCCAATTCTCAAGTCTGTAAACCGTTGACCACAAATATCAAAGATGCTTGCATAGATATTTGGTTCAATATTTAGTTTTTCACTGGGCCCTTTCTATTAATTATTCAGATTGTTTTCTCTTTCACCCTCTGCTAACTGCTAACAATCACTGAAATAGACCCATCTTCATATGTATCCAAAATTATATTATATTATAACACTTCCAAATGTCCATCCAAATTTTTTCAAATTGCCTTCAAGAATAATGGTTCATAATTTTTTTTTGTTAAGAGTATTTGTTATAAACAATTTGCCACCATTACTTTAAATAATAAAAATATTTAATATAACATGTTTAATAATTTTAAATTGTGTTTATAGAATACTAGGTAGTAAAATCACATAAAATTAATATTAAAAAAATACTAATTAGTACGTTAATATACTGGTAAAAGAATTAAAAGGCATAATAATATACCTTTTTTTCATAACTTTCTATGTACTTTAAATAACATGTTTTTAGTGAAAAATTTACTTATTAATTTCTTAATTAATGACCTAAACTCTAATTACTCTAATAAAAAAACTTAAAATAATATAAAAACACTTTTTAAAACTGTTTTTCTGGATTAAAATTTAATAAAATCCACAATATTATGAGTAAAATAGATCAAATAAGAAGTTTGATTTACCGTATTTTGAGTCAATAAATTTTAGTTAACACCAAATAATATATAAATGGGTGTTTAAAAACTCTTGCTAATAATATTTTATTACACAATACTAAACTAAGTGCATGTGGAAATTTCATTGAGAAAACCACCCTTTTAAATTCTCTTTAAAAAAATAAAAATAATAAAAAATATTTTTTATAAATAAGTTAAAATAATATTGAGCTAAAACATTGGTGAAGAAAGCTCTAAGGTTAGGACTATAAAGACAACAGGGTTACTCTAAACAATGTTATTATATATATAGTAAGAGATGGGAATGGGAGTGTAGAATGCAGCAATTTGATTATAATTGTTGGATTTGTACGGTGTCCTCCTTATGACTCATCTAAGGACAGCCCATCGCCTGATCAGGACCATTGACTTGTTCAGTTGGTGGGCCGTCCCTAACTCAATTTACATGTGAGGTTGGTGAAAGGCACTATCAACCTTTTTTTTTTTTTCCTTTTTTTTTCTTTGAATTTTCACATTATTTATTTATTTTTCTTTGTCATCATGTAATTTCTTTTGTTTTTTTCCCCCAGTGGTAAACCTGGCCATAGGTTATAGTCATAGACATTAGTCATATAGCTCAGTGCTCAGTGACTGTCTGTGAATTATTACTCACTCGTGGGCATTCATGGCTGTGGGGTATATGGTTTAAGAGTCAGCAAGAGCAATTTTCAATTGAGACTTGGGATTGGAAGGGTTTGAACCATTTTCCTTGTAATTCAATTGTAGTTGTTGAGAGAATAGATAAAAGGAAAAGTAGAGTCCTGTCTTTATTAGAGATTAGTAAACTACCACAATGTCAAAAAAAAAAAAGGACTCATTGGTGGAAGTGTTTATGTTACTAGTACTTTTTCTTCATATTAAAATTAGTAATTGCTGCATGGTTTTTCTATTATTTTACGGTCATTAATTTTTTTTAAATGATTGATTTTACATCTTATAGTATGTTTCTATAAATTGATAAATATTGATAATTGTCTAATATTAGTTAAAGACACTAGTTAGTAATAATATTTTTCTTCCATAACTCCGAGTGTACTTTAACTAAAGCTGAAAAAATAACCAATCTTACTGAGTTATAATAATAATAATAATAACAGCATTAAATATTATATTTTTAATTCTTTCACCTTTAACATATTCTATTTTGATTTATTAGTATCGTGTTGTATGCGACTTTGAATTGCATTTTCTTTTGGAGCAATATCATTGCAGTAATTATTTACATTAACAGAGTGACAAAAGAAAAAATAAAAGTGCAAGAAAAAGGGCATTCAGTGAGGAAGCAGAGGCCAGTTATAAATTCATCATTGTCAGTAACTCAAATCTCACCTTCACAGTTCACACCACCACTTGTGTTGTTGTTGTGTTGTTGTACCAGTGTGTGTGATTTGTCCTGTTGTTTTTCCTTTGCCTGTTAGTGAAAGAGTAACAACTACAAGCAAAGCAAAGTTAATCCATAGTCTGAACAATGGTGGTGAAGAAGCCACGGATTGTGATAATTGGAGCAGGAATGGCAGGTCTCACAGCTGCCAACAAGCTCTACACTGCCACTGCTTCAAAGGACTTGTTTGAGCTGTGTGTTGTAGAGGGTGGAACAAGGATTGGTGGCAGAATCAACACCTCCGAGTTTGGTGGTGACCGTATTGAGATGGGTGCTACATGGATCCATGGAATTGGAGGAAGCCCAATTCACAAAATTGCCCAAGAAACCAACTCACTTCACTCTGACCAACCTTGGGAGTGCATGGATGGTAACCCTGATGATGCCATCACCATTGCTGAAGGTGGTTTCCACCTTCACCCTTCCGTTGTTCACCCCATCACAAAGCTCTTCAACAACCTCATGGATTACTCTCAAGGGAAACTCACTGAAGCCACTGCAAAGGGTGAACTTGACACTTATCATAAGCTGGCTGCTAAAGCTGCTTCCAACATGTCTGGGAACAACGACAACCTTAGTATTGGTTATTTCCTCAGACAAGGCCTTGATGCTTACTTGGGTTCTGTGAAGGAGCATGAGGAGGTGAAAGGGTGTGGGAACTGGAGCAGGAAGTTGCTTCAAGAAGCAATCTTTGCAATGCATGAGAACACCCAGAGGACTTACACTTCAGCTGGTGACCTTTTGAGTCTAGATTATGGGGCTGAAAGTGAGTACATAATGTTCCCGGGTGAAGAAATCACAATTGCTAAAGGGTATGTAAGCATAATTCAGTACTTAGCTTCTGTGTTACCACCTGGTTTAGTTCAGTTAGGTAGAAAGGTCACAAGGATTGAGTGGCAACCTGTGATAGATGACGAGCAGAAGGGTGTGGAAAATAATGGTTGTTGTTCAAGGCCTGTGAAGCTGCATTTCTGTGATGGCTCCTTTATGTCTGCTGATCATGTCATTGTCACTGTTTCACTTGGAGTGTTAAAAGCTGCTATTGGTGATGATTCAGGTATGTTCTGTCCTCCTCTTCCACCTTCCAAGGCTGAGGCAATTTCAAGGCTTGGTTTTGGTGTTGTTAACAAGTTGTTTATGCAACTGAGTCCAACACATGGAGGTGGGAAACATGGACATGAACATGAACAATCCAAAGGGTTTCCTTTTCTTCAAATGGTTTTTCATTCACCTCAATCTGAAATGAGGAACAAGAAAATACCCTGGTGGATGAGAAGAACAGCTACCCTTTTTCCCATCTACACCAATTCTAGTGTCCTCTTGTCTTGGTTTGCTGGAGAAGAAGCACTGGCGCTTGAGTCACTCAAAGATGAAGAGATCATCAATGGGGTTTCATCCACTGTCTCGTGCTTTCTACCACAGTGGCAAAAAGGTTCAAGTCCACATAAATTGTGCAATGGGAATGTGAGTTCTGAGGAGAGATCTCAACAAAATGAAGTTCAGTTCAGTGAAGTCTTGAAGAGCAAATGGGGGACTGATCCATTATTTTTAGGCTCATACAGTTATGTTGCAGTAGGATCAAGTGGTGATGACTTAGATACAATGGCAGAGCCATTGCCAAAAGATAGCTGTTGTCATCCTTCTCCACTTCAAATTTTGTTTGCAGGAGAAGCAACTCACAGAACTCATTATTCTACAACTCATGGTGCTTACTTCAGTGGTCTTAGAGAAGCTAATAGGCTTCTTCAACATTATCATTGTGTTGGGATTTATAACAACTAGTACTTTTTTTTTACTTCCTTTTTTCCCCTCCCTTTTAAAATTTTGAACATCAATCTCTATGATATTATTATTCCCATTTTCATTTTAAACGTCTTCGTTTCTCTTTAAGGAAAGTAGTGAGTGAGTGATTGGGAAAAAATCAATATTAGAAGGGGGCAAGATGAATAGTGAGATGGGGACATTTAGATGTACTACTTGAAGTAATTTTTCCCCAATATTTCTTTCGCTTCATGAGTGTAGTTTCTTTTCATTTAATCTCTTGTTAATCATCAAACCAAAACTAGACGAGATTTTTTATTGACATTCAGAATATGAATTTAGAACTAGAAAGCTTCAGATATCATCATCATATATGCTACCTCCATGTGTGTTCTCTGGCTTCCCTCGAAGGACAGGATCCGCCAAACCCGGCTCTTTCCAGCTCGGAATCTCCCTCATTAGTTTTATGAAATGAAATATGGCTTGTCAACTGCTCAGGCCTATTTGTTCTTGTCATGTATCAACTCTACTCAAAACTATGATCCTACTACCTTTATGAGAATTGGCCTTGATGTGATATATAGAGCTTCTGTAATTAAGTGGTAAGAAGTGTATTTTCACCCTTGCTTGTTCCATTTTACATAACCAAGCTTTCAAGTTTAGTGTAATGTAAAATGGACTTGTACATTGCTTATATAAAACCATACTAAATACTGAAGTCTAAAACCAATATCACTAACACACAATAAACCTTGATTCCATGCAAAGGCTAACCGCGTACAACTAGTTATATAGTTTTTGCATTGCATCTATGTTTACATTTTTTCAACATGTTTGAGTGATATTAGAGGTGTGAGAACTTGGGACAATAAATGAGCTGGCTAAAACTGTATATGATTCACATGAAAATGGATAGAGGCAGGAAAGGTAGGGTCCCATTATGCACCCCTCCTGCCCCCATGAGCAGTTGCGGTCGATCAGACCAATAACCAAAATGTCCTTTAACAATGAGACAGAATTGTAGATGCTTATAGCCATCTGATTGCAGTGATCTTTTGTGCAGAAGCTCGCTTGGTCAGGATTCATGAAAACGACTGGTCCCATTCCCCTGCCTAGTAGTACGTATATAGGCAATAGGACAGACATACATATATGTAGACCACTTTGCTCCATGTAACAAAATCCCCTACCTACCATTTGTTATTCAAGCCAAATCCACCATACTTGTGACTCCCTGGGGCTTGCTTGATTTTTGCCTCCTTTCACAGATTCCACAACCCCATGTTACAATGATTCTTCTGTCATAATGTCTCAATGCCATGTTTTATCTATGTTCTATGCTTAATTAATCTCATCCGTTTGATTATCTTTCATGCAAAGAATAAACCAATTTCATTGACATAAATAGGCCTTATGGTGGTTCTCACATTTGTTAATCATTGGCTTAACTCACCTATTTCTCATCCTCCACATCCTTCTTTATTGAACAAAATTATTATATCATAAATATGAAAAATAACCTATACTTTTTTTAAGATTATTAATAGTATTCTCAATTGGTATCCTTAGGATAATGATTAGTAAGACCCTTTATGTGATAAAAACACTGAACAAACGTCACATGGAATAACAACCTGTTTTGGGGTCACAAATTCTGCCAATGGCTTCGTGCATTTGCTTGATAAATGCTAACGGATTATCTAAGAATATCTGTTTGGTGACCGAGTGGTCAAATCAAGTGCAATGTAAAGTGACTCTATTATTGTAAGATTTCCCAAGGCCCTCCCCATTCCCCATTTCAAGTTTTTAACTCCAACCTCCTTCTCCTTTTAAAAGAATAAATAAGGAAAAGAAAAGGAAAAAGAAAAAAAGAAAAACACTGAAATGGCCCACTTGCTCTCTCTTTTTGCCTCTTGTGGGCTTCAATCACCCTTTGATGATTGCATATCACAGACCAATCTGTCATCTAGTCCTTGTCTGATACATAAACGAACAAATGAGAATCTACATTCCTCTACCCTCTCACCTGCTAATCCAACATGTTAATTACCAAAACATGACCCTCTTTGCCTCCAATTATCATTGTGGTCACGCACCTTCATTAACAATATTCCATGCCCACAATATCATAGGTCTATTTTGCTATAATCAAGTTGATGTGTCAATTGTCCAATTAAATTATGAATTTTTATATTGAAATTAATAAGATAATCTTTCTATTGAAGAATAGCCAATGCCACACAATCCTACCCAAGGTGTTGGGTTGCTCCTTGATTTGGTTGAACTTGAGTAGGACCATTGAATTGACTACACGTGCACATTGGAAATATTTTATTGTAAGATGCTACACCTTACTTTTTGATGCTATAAGCCGATCGTTTGTATACTTCAATCAAAATTGAGTGTAATGACAATGAGCTCTAGCCCACAAAAATTCCCCCTCATTGAGCCTAAATTTAACATAAGGTTAGACAATTGTTTCTCATTATAGCATGGGAACTGATTATTCACCAATTGGGATCAAACAATATAAAATTAATGGACTAAGAATGTAAATCACATCGTGAGTCCTACTTTCTCTTTTAAGCAGTGGATATTGTAGAAGTGTTGATATATATAATATACGTACCACTCAACTCCATTGCTTCTTGCTTTTCTGTTTATTCAGTTGGATGTACTTTAATCATTCTCTTTCACAAAAATTATGATTCCTACTATCATATTCACCTTTGGACAAACATTTCTTTAACTTTACGTGTCCAACTTCTTTATCATAATGATCCTGCTTTTCCTTTTTTGCAAATCTTAGATTAAAAGTTTAATGATAGATGATTAAGAGGTCCCTATCTCTTTATTCTTTGTAAATAAGAATAACGTTTTTTCATTCCTAGAGAGCCAATGATGACAAAGAGGAAGATGACACATTTAAATAAGTTATCACATTGGGGATCTGGATTTTTCTTTAGGAAGACCTAGGTAGTGATAGGGGTAGACCCTTTTGTTAATAGTATATAAAGAAAGATCAAGAAGTAGGCCACTTAAATCTTGAGAATGGAATCTTTGAGGTGTAGTCCTAGGCATAGGGTAGCTAATAGGATTGTTTTGAGGTTTCCCAAATTCTTTTTTGAGATGGGCATCACACTTTGAAGTGGTAGATCCAACTATTTACTATCTTTTGCCCACATTCTCTTTCATGACGATTGAAGCAAAACTAGCAAAGCATAATATTTTAGCTGGACATGTCCATGATATGAGAAGGACAGTCCTCCTTAAATATGTTATTTTGACAAGTATTAAACCAAACAATGCTAAACAACTACTTATTAAAGTTTTTAATTTGAAATAAATAAAAAAGGATTATGAACTAAAGTTCGTTCCTTTTATTTTTCTCTTCTTTTCTTGTTTTGTTGAAGAGGAGAGGGGTGGGATGAGCTATATCCAATGTCTGAATTGAATCCTATTGAATGGTGGGGCTCTTCCAATAATTACTAAGCTTTAAATACATGGAGGGTTTTTATTAAATATAAAAAGGAAGTAAACTTTGAGGGTAAAGGATTCGTTAATCCCTGATCGATTAATTGGTCTAATGTGATTTTCAGGGAAAATAATTAAGAAAAAGAAAATGACCAGTGGGATATTTTTCACCTGAGAAGAGGTTCAGATGTTGTGTCTGAAATGCGTGTCTTAACACTGCCTACAATTCATTATAATTATTACCTGTCTCTTTAACTTGGAAATAGCTTCTACACAGAAGAACTGTGTTCTTATTATTTTGTTCTTTTAATCAGTACCTTCTTTTACTTTCCTTTCTGATCCCAGCATCTTGAAGTTTTTAATTTTGGACAGCCTAGCTGGTCAACTTAGATGTCTAGGATGCAATAAAAGCATGTGAAAAAAATAGTACATGACAAAGACCTAACAAGTTTAAAGATTTTATTTGATTGAGGTGGAGGAGAGTGGATTCTCGAGTTTGATTAGTATCTTAATTTAATATTCTTTCTGTCTAAGCCATGTATTTTAAAATAAAAATAATATTTTTAAGAAATGGTTGGTTAAGGTGGTACATATTTAGTTTTTTTTTAAAAAAATTAAATTTAAACTTTTACATATATAAAAAAATTACTTGAAGAGTCGTTATCATCATCATATATAGAGTGGATATTTCATGTTTGACCAAAATTGACTCCCATGAAAGACATTCTTGATTTAAATAGAAAAGAAAAGAAAAAATAGTATTGAATAATATTGCCGATGAAACTTTTTTTTCCCCTATTTTATTGCTTTTTGTATTATTCGTTGAGTGGTAATTAAGCAATGTGCCGTATCTGCTACTTTATAAAGTTAATGGGGAATATGGGATGTATATCACCTAAGATTTTGTCTAAAGAATGTCTTGACAATGCCACTAATTCATATTATTTCCATGTCTACTTGCTATCCTTCTGCTAAGCACTTGATACAAGTAGCTTTGAGGAATAATTCTTAGTGTCGCGTTCATACAATTATTAGCTACTTTCTTAGGATTCCTGCATGAAAATTAATCCGTAAAGTGATCTCGACAAGATTATGTTATTGTGTGTTCATGTTTTACTTAGCAAAAAGGAGAGGCTAATGGATTAATATCCAAAAGAAATAAAGAGGGGCTAATAACGACATGTAAATTTTTCGCATAACTTTCATTAATATTTTTTTTCTTTTTCTATATTCCTTCTTCTTAATTAGTACCACTGTCTCACCATTAATTATGTGAGTTATTTTACTCTCCATTGTGTATCATATTACCCAAAAATATAACTCTTCTAGAGTCTAGTGTATTAATAGAATTGTATTTTTTTAATTTTTAGTTTTATAAATAATTGCAAAAAAATATATTGTTACTTTTAATGTTTACTAAATAAATTATTCAAAATATGAAATAAAATGAAGAATAATATAACATTTTTTGTAATGATTTGAGACAAAAATAAAACAGTGTTTAATTTTTCAAAGCAAACACGCCCTTATTTTGCCAGTCTATATTTTTAAAATAATACTGTTTGAAGATTTTATTTTTTTTTAATCATGATTTTAAGGGTAAACTATCACACGTCTCTAATTTCACAATTTTCTCATCTTTTCGGTTTTTTTATCACTCAATCTAGCTCGTTTACTTTATACCAAATTGAAACTATATTAAGTTTTTCATATACTATTAGTTACTTTTTGATTCACATAATCTCTTTCTACTTTAGATCAAAATAAAATTGTTAATTTTTTTTGTATTAATATTAATTGCATGAAATCCCTTTTTTTTTTTACAGAAAAGTGTCTTCGTTGGTTCCAAAGAAAATTGTTAAGTATGTTGTTTAAGAACTCAAAAATCAAAACAGTGAAGTAGAGAAAGTACTGCAATGTTATTGAATCTTGTACAAGAAAGACCTTCAGCTTGTATTTGGTATCACTTCATGAAAATGAAAATCTCTTCCATGGTGAAAGTCAAGTGAATACTAGATTTATGATAAGAATCAGTAACATATTTAAATTTGAATTTAAATATTTATAAATCAACATTTAATTTAAATGATTATAATTTCTGCATTGAGACACGTTTGCATTTTTTTAAAACATATTTCTAAACACACACTGGCAAAAGTACACAAAATTGGAATGGTGTACGATAAAATTAGACCCTCCTGTTGCGACATATTTTTTTTCATGAATAATAATAATAACAGAGGCGTCAAATTCATACATATGGTGATGTAGTTCTAGCAAGAGCTCAACAAAAGGAAAAGAAAGTCAAAATCATGTGCATGAGATTGATTAGTTCTAGTTAGATAAGCAATACATTTAACTTAATGAATCGAATAGGTAACAAAACTGATAAGAACATGGACAACTCGGTCGAGTTTTGACAACATCAATGACCCAACCCATGTCCTTGAACTGAACGGTTCATGTAGGAAATATAATCTCCCAATTTGAAATGACATATCGATGCTTGAAGCAAAAAGGCCCAAACTAGAGAAAGAAACAAGGTAGACAAAAGGAAAAGATACCCAACATAAGGGCATAGATGCCCAACTCAAGGTATAGATTCCATCTCTGAACCAACCAACCCCCCCCCCCCCCCACCACAAAAAAAAAAGTGTATGGATGCCTCAACTTAGGGATATGAATGCCTAATGACAAGAAAAAAGAGAGGATAGAATGCCTATCTTTTTCATCATACTCTTAAGGTTGCATGTGATTGGTCACCACGTATTTATTATGAAAAGCTAAAGGAACTAGACATATAGAATTGGGTTCTTAACCATAGATGTAGAAATGTGTGTTCATTTTCATCTAATTGTGTGGATGAAATGATTTGCCAATACGATAGAATTATATTTTTTAATCATTTACCGACAATGTTTGAAAGTTGAAACATTGCTTCAATGTATGAAATTTACTTATTTGACATAGACACGTATAGTTTGATCAGAGGATACATGATAATAAAGCATAAAATTAAGCTAGCTTCGAAAGGTTTAGATAGATTGCATGGAGTCATATAGGTTTAAACCTCATTATTGCTGTTAAAAAATGGAAACATGTTTATAAGACTAAGAAATAAGTTAATAACCATTCGAGTGCCTCACCTAATAAAATCAATATTGTTAAGCTTTGTTATTACAAGTGTATTGGGGGTCTGTTGAAAGAGCTAATGATCAACTTATGAAAAAATAAATTGACTCTAATAAGTTACTTTTAGGTTAATAAATTTTGTGATTTAATTCAAGACACAAGTTATCATTTTAAAAAGAGTTTAAATACTTATATAAACCATTATCTAAACACAGCTTTGGTAAATTGATAACCTTTGACCATTGCTTGCTCTCTCGGTAGGTACTTACTATGTGATATACTTGGTGTTACTTTTTTCTAAATTATTTTTGTATATTTTAATTTCAATTGCTTGAGCCATAAAATTGATAATTTAATGAATCTATAAGTGAAATGATTAAAGTTGTATACTTGAAACTCAAGCATGACTTATGCAAAATATGATCATCAATTAGTATTGAAAGTGGCAATATGCATATGAAAGTAGCATTTGTTCTTTTTTTGTAATTCTCTCTCCGGTCAATCGTTTTCTGACTACCTTGCTCTTGCTGACTTTTATTTATTAATTTATTAAAAAATAAATAAATTTATGTTGACTTATTTACCTCTTTAGTATTTTGATTATTTTTGTTTTAATCAAATGTAGTCTAAAGCGTATTTTTGATATCCTATAAATTATGTAACGATAAGTTTTAAGATAAAAATAAGATTTAATAAATACATTATTTTCTATCTAAAATTAGCATTTTTATCATTATTGCCTGTGAAGATTAAATTTGACTTGTTTACACAATCGAGCTTAAAGTCAAACTGATGATAATTTGCTTAATTAAAAAAAAAAAAAAAAACTTGATTGAACATTTGATGAATTAAATTCAAATAATTAATGAATAATTCAATCTGATTTTATTTGTTTGTCAGAATGCACATTCTAATTCAATTCATTTGGAATGATGCTTTCAGGAAGAGTTCAAAAATCTTACCAGACTGGGTAAAATTCAATTGTTAAACCAGTGAATGGGTCAAGTGTACAGTTCGTTTAACAAAAAGGATCTTTTGTAAGAAACAAATCGTACTAAGGACATAAAACAGACTAACATGAAATGCAAACACCTAGCAGAAACACGAACCATAATTCATTACTTCTGTGAAAAACTAGTCATTTCTAGTAAACCTTATTTCAAACGGTTTACCTGTTTTTTCATACATTGCTAGTAGCTTCAGTCACAGCAGCAAATAATAGCACCATCAATGCACAGTATCTATTAATTGCATACTACTAGCAATGGATGCAAAAAATAATCAAGTTAAATCAAATTGAATAAGGGGCACAACAAAGGAGAATAGATGCATCTCATTTGCCAACTGTAAAAAGCTTGTCTAGAGCTACAAGAGCCAAGGATCATGAATTAAAAAAGGGTGTCCAAGCATTATCCAACCCCTCCAACCAACCACATATGTTCAGTTCAGTTGTTTGTCGGATTGATTGAGCCGTGTGGCAGCCTCATGAACCAAGGACCACGATGATCTTCAAACAGAAAACAGAATTGTATCAATTTAAGGAATACTAACCACAAACCCCCATTGTTCTATGTTAATTTAAAGTTCCCTACTCCATTCCCATACATGGGTGATTAAAGTAAATACATCAGCAAGATATGTAAAGCTCATTCCCTACTAAGTATATCATTTTTCAGGCTTTGAAGCACAGGCCACCACATGAGACTTGAATTTCTCCAGCTCAGCCAAAACCTCCTCTTCTGGTCTGTAGATCAAATCACTCATGCGCCATATCTGCCCAAATGAGTTTGAATGCATAAGACAATCATTTATGCTAAAGAGAAGCCAATAAGCATGTTTCAATTATGGTGGTTACAAGCTATTAAACTCAATAATCATGGTCCCAGTATACTATTCAGATTAGTCATGCATATAACCAGGCATAAACAGGTTTGACTCTCTATTTTCACAACTTAGTCATTCCGATTTTAAAAAAAGAACAATGACAACGAAAACTTGACTTGCAAGTGCATTGCATACTCTAACACTAAAGCCCCACCGTGCCCAAGAAAGGAGAAGGAAACACAGACTTGCCACTGTCCCACCCATTCCCCTATGCTGGCCCTGTAGCTGCTCCACTGTGAGTACATCTTCACATCCAACGAGAAAACAACCAGGAACACCACAACAACACTGGAAATACCAGGACGAGCCTGGAAAATGTGTGCATGATTGCAGTTCTTTGAAGGGGAAACGAGAGCATTTTCTAGCGTTTTGTTTTTGGTGAATATTAATGATTGGGTCACATTTCGGCCACACACACAGATTTTGACAAGCCTATAGGGTAGAAGGCAGGGTAAATAGCTGTCTTGAATTTGTTTTCCTTTTACTTGTAGCATCTAATCTTGGGGCAAGTTCAAATATCTGTACTAACCAATGTTATTAATGGCAGAAGGCGGGTCATGGTGAAAAGCTAAAAAACAGCAATAAAATTATGGAGGATGCCATGGTGGGTTATGGCGGAAGTATGGTGGTCATATATATATATATTGCAAAATAATATATAAAACTAAAAAACTAACTACATATAAAAGAAGGTTTTGAGAAAAAAAAGAATAAAATGGTTGTAAAACAGTGAAAAAAAAAGCTGAAGTAGAGAATTAAAAATAAAAATGGAAAAGGAAAATTGGAAGTGAAAACAGAAAAATAGAATCAAGAAAACAAAATAATAAGGAAAAACGAAAAAAATGGGGGAGTAAAACAGAATGGGAGAGGTAAAAACAGAATTGAAAAAAAAATATAATAGGAGAGGGGAAAACTAAAAAAGAGGGACCAGAGCCCATAGAAGCAAACTGGAAAATTGATGTCAAAAAACAGGGTCTTCCAGTTGCCGGAAAACAGCTGGAAAGGATGTCTTCTCCAGCAAAAATGGTGAACAAGATGAAGAAGTTGGCTTTAGAGAAGGAAGAAAAACAGAGCAGAGAACCCTAAAAATTTTACCCTTTAAAAATTTTACCGCCTGAGAAGACAAGGAAAAAATTTTAAGTGGAAAAAGTCTATTTTACCCTTAAAAAAACCATAAACGACACTAGCAAGGGCAAGATCGGACTTTCGCTCCATCTCTCCATTACACTTCAAAAGTGCACACCCACACCAAGACACTGTAATTAGGGCTTAACCTCTGCGAATAAAGAAATACTTCACCACAGCAAGCATCATGTAGCCGACTGCCGCTCCACAGCGGCACAATAGCAACGAAGAGAGACACCCAGCAAAATGCAGAACGAGATCGGAGGAGAGAGATAGATCAGATATGAGAGAGAGATCTGCAGAACGTGATCAGAGAAGAGAGAGAGATCAGATATGAGAGATCGGAGATGAGAGGGAAATGTTTGACTCACAAAGAGGGCAGAAGAGATGTAGCCTTAGGGTTTTTGGGCATGGGTCAACCTCTAAACCGGGTTGGGTTTGCGGCCCAACCCATCAAAACACCATTTTTCAACAATTTCCGTCATGGCCTGTGTTACCGCCATGTGCATAATGACCGCCATGCTGCCGCCCCCAGAAACCGCCAAATAATGTCAAGGTTAAAAACCGACACCAAATTCGGCCATGGCTGTCATTTAACAACACTGGTGTGTAATTTCTTAATTTATATCTAATTTTATGGAATTCATCCAATGATTAATTCATTGATCCATTGACCACATGCTGCAGCTGAGTTTAATGACTACAATTTCTATAGGTAAATTTGTCATGTAGCAAGTAACAAATATACCAATACAGTGCCTCATTAGAATTACCTCAACTATATCAACAGATTTGGCCAGACTTATATACAGAAGTAGCATCTTCAATTATATGAAGATGACAAATGATTTTTTTCTATAATTATATTCTAAAATTAGAAAAAAGGTTTCCATACCTGCAATGTTCCCCCTCCACCAGTACTTTCACAGTCATCAGACACACTGACAATTGTCCACGGATCATATGCATTCCAGTGAAAGTCAACCACTTTGTCTCTGCATTCAAATACAAAGTTCATGAGTAAAAACAACAAAAAACCAAATCTGGGGGAGGGGGGGTTGTCCACTAAATATTTTGCGGGAAACAAAAGACTTGCATTTTAAAGAACAAGTCCAGTATTCTTTGACAGTCTTCCAAAATATGAGATGAACAATTCATTAGGGAGAAACAATAAAACTGTCTGAGGGTGATGCAAAATGCACTACAAGACAACTAGTTTGTGCAATCTTAAAGAGATCAATTCTACAAAAATTGATATTCCAAGCTTGCAACCATTACACCTTGATTGGACAGTATCTGACAAGACTGATCAAACCAAAAACACTAGAACAAATTTAATGAGGCAATACAATGTGTTACAGCATATATATTTGATATTGATAATTTCATGAATTTGATATCACAAGATTGGAGAATAACAGATGTAAACATTGAAAAAAGAGATTCAGGCAACATAAGCAACAAAGCAAAACCCAAAATGTTTAAGAAACTTGATGAGCTACATCAGACCACAAACATAAATAACAAGGTTCAGATTCAAAAGATAATGCTTATCTGGCTAAAAAGAAATTTAAATACTCAAAGTAAACAATATTCCCTCAGCTACAGATCTAGATAGTTGGAATAACTAACTGAAGTATATTTAAGGGTACCAGAGAAAGTGTAGTCTAATACCTATGGCCTGCATGCTGGAAAAACAACCCTGGAGGAGAACTTATCGATTTTCCAGATCGCTCTATCTTTTTACCAACCTGCATTACAGAACAAAATAAAAAGGCTTTGACACCCAACATTACTTTTGGGGCAAGAAATAGCAAGACATTACTGACTGAAATTGCACCTTCTCATAGTCCCAAATGTTCAAGAGACCATCTTCTGCTGAACTTCCAAATATAGATGATTTATCTGGAGACCACTGAAATAAACAAACAGTAATTAGCATATATTACAGTGTAATAATAATATAATGCCAAAAGGCATGAAAAATTATTAGAAAACAAAAACATGTCCAGAATTACCTGAACACAAAGAACAGCAGCTTTGTGACCCTCAAATTTATGAATAGGTGACCCAACTCCATTAGCGGTGAGATTTCGACGATCAAACATGCGAACAGAATTATCTGCTGACCTGCAGAGATATGGTGACAAGTCAAACAGGGAAGTGATGCTTCAACTTGCACATACTGCATAATGATATGATTAAATCTAAGCGTAGTGCATAAGTCCAAACTAAATTAAATGATAAATCAATGAGAGAAATATACAGCAGCAGAACATACCCAGTAAGAATCAGATTATCATCATGGGGGTTCCAGTCAACACAGTGAAGATCAGCATTATGAGCTTTTTCAACCTGTTACCAAATTAATAGCAGTGAGAAAAAACAATTTCAGAAAAGACATAATGATATGTTAAAAAGTTAGAGTCTACAACAAAGAGGGTTGTGTATATAAATATTTTCAAATACAGATGCATGTTTTCCCAGTTGATAAACCCTCAATGTCATTGCATACTCTTAATCCAACAAGTTTGTGAGTAAACTAAAAACAAAAAGTGCTCTGTTCACCAAAAACAATATGCTATAAAATCCATATTTTTATCAACATATCAATCAAGGAAAACAAATTTAAACAGAAGTATGTAGTATATACCTTAACCACAGGACTAGAGCCAACACGTGCATCCCATAAGATGAGACAAGAATCATCTCCAACGCTACAGAACTCTTGTGCACTTCAGCACAATCATAATGATGTCAGTAAGATATGGTTATCAAGTATGGTATTTAGTTCATGCTGCTACTATCAAATGAACTAGATCCCTCAAACAGAAATCAAAAAATGAAAAATATAGAACAATCCCCCACCCCCACCCCTCCTATTTCAAGATATATTTGAAAATGGTGTAGATAGCACATTAATAAATAATATGGAGTTGAAGAAGCAGGAAGAGCAGAGGGCACCGAAGATTTCACCTAAAATGTGAAAAAAAAGGAAGGGAAAAAAGAAAGCAAAAAAGAGAAATAGAGAGAAAAAACATTTTTCTCTTCTATTGTTTTGTTAGGCTGGAAAGAAATGTACAAGGAAAAAAAAATGTAATCATGTCAAATAACTTTTAGATCCTTTTAACAAAATGGGGGGTAGCAATGTAGAGGAGTTATTTGTCATTTAAAACATTAATCTGATTTCCTAATTTCTTCTCATGAATGGAGAGAAAATATTTATGCGAGTCCCACCATTTATTTGGGTCAGCAAGCAAACAAGAGAAAACAGTATAATCCTCTCACTTTCTACCACTGAACTTCCCTCCTATTTACCGTCAAAACCACACAATGCCTAAAATTTCATATTAAGGCGAATAGTAAAAGGAGAATAGACACTTATTAAGGAAAAGCACATATGAATGTAACTACTCAGCATACAGTATGCAAATTACCTAGATGGGCAGAAAGTCACATCTTCAACAGTATCCTCATGGCCACAGTAGATACCTCGTGGTCCAACAGAAGGACCATCAGCAGTTTTATCATTGCCTTCTCCAGATTTGGAGTTTGGTTTGATAATTGACCCACCAGCTTTGGAGTCAGTGGCAGCAGATGTTATATGGTCTTCAATACTCCACAACACCACTGTTCTGTCCTTTCCTGCAATGTAAATTACTTCTTTCAGAGATAGGATAACCACATCATCAATAGAGTAGGAATTTAATATCAAGATTGTTTAAAAAATAGTTAGCAAGTATGCCAACCTCCTGAAAGAACATAGGGTTCAGTTGGGCACATTGCAAGAGCAAATTCTGCATTATCTTGGTGTCCAGTCAATATCTGCAAAAAGTTATATCAATATGAATATATCAAGAAGCAGCAACCATACCAAATAAAAAAAAAAATGGAAGGAACAATAATGTTGCAAAAGGAGTTTCTTTTATAATGGATAGCTCAAGGGAACTAAAGTTGGAGGTCACCTAATTCACTTGAAGTTCCAAGTTTTACCCTAAGAAGCATGGAAATATGATGCATTCTCTTGTTTTTTCACATATTGGTATTGGATACATATATCAAAGAACTAAGAAGTATCCAACACATCTTTACTAAAGAAGAAAACTGCATTAATCCAATGCAGCTGGGACACACTGGGATATGGACTATGGTTTGTGAGGTTCAAATACAGCTTGTTCTTGGATGATTTTTTAGTTTCCTCCATAAGACAGAGGTAAGACTCTTCCCAGCCTTTCACAATGCAGCAAACCAGAAAATGTTTACACCACTCTGGCAGACAAGCACAAGTACCACTCTTCTTTCATGACACACAAAGCATGACTTGCTGGATTGATTTCTGTTTATTTTTGTTTTTTCTTCTGTTCAATAGAGCCCCTCATTTTTCAATTGCAGCATCTGATACATAATTGTTAATCTCGGATGGTGGCGAATAGTAGCTGACCCCGAAAAAGTTATGGCGGTGAGATGAGCACTTTTTAGAAATTTATAATATGGATATATAATATGTTATGTAAACAGAAAAACAGAACATGAACAGCAAAACAGTGGTTGAAGCAAGAGTGATCCGTGAACAGTAAGATGGAGCTCAAACTGAAAAGCAGAGCAAACGCTGGAAAAACTGATTTCTCCTACAAAATGAAGTGTGAGCCTCCAGAAAAGCTGATTTCTCCGGTGAACAGAAAAGCAGAGGAGACACTGGAAAAGCTGATTACTCCAGCAAAATGGAGTGAGTGAGCTTCTAGACAAGCTGATTTCTCTGACAAAATGGAATGGGTGAGCCTGTGAGGAGGGGAGAAATGGCTTTGTGTAGGTCCTGACTTTTCATCCAGAGAGGAAGACTGTTGAGGAAGATGAAATCGATTTTATGATATATATGTTTTATAAAGGGTAAATGACCTTTCTACCCTTAAAAATTATCAAATCGGTGCATTTTAGAAAAAATAGAAAAGGGTTTCTTGCTTTCCCCAAAATCACACGTGAACCACCTGCAACTTCCGTGACAAGACAAACACCCCACAACATGGAGGCCGTGGCGGCCGATGGCCACGCCACTATAATGCATTATTAACAACTATGATCTGATACAGATCAGATTATATTTGCGCGTAATAGGCAAGATAGTCAAAATCAAGATTCTAAGTGGAATCGGAGATGAGATGAAAAATAGTAACTCATAGGATTGTAACACGAATTAGAAGATCCTACAAAATTGTATAAATACATGTAAAATAGTATAAATATAAAGACCAGAGGACAAATGAGAGAAGTGAGCCACCCCACCTCAAAATAGAGATACTAAGAACAGAAATGGAGAGGGAAAAGATAGATTAAGTATTTTATTCTGATAAAAGATTATTTTATCCTTAAAGAAACTTAAAACAGAGCCACGTTAAGGGTAAAAAGGGAAAGCCAAATTATTTTTAAATGATGAGAAGTCTTGTTTTCACCCTTAAAAAAACCCTAAAATCTGCTTCATAAATCCTAAACCCTAAAGACTATTTGATCCTTAAAGAAACTTAAAACAGAGCCACTTTAAGGGTAAAAAAGGAAAGCCAAATTATTTTTAAATGATGAGAAGTCTTGTTTTACCCTTAAAAAACCCTAAACCCTAAATAACTTTTACAATTAGGCTACGTTGGCTGCAAATACAGCTGCGATGGCCACCACAGCAAAAAGCTCCGCTATGACAAGGTTGCCGGCGCAAAGCAGAGTCGCTGACACAGACAAGGTCGGAGCAGACATAGTCATCAGAGCGAAAGCTATAGGGATCGCAGAACAGAGGAATGAAGTTGCAAAGTCCTGGTCACGTCCAAAAATGGAAAAAGGGGCAAGTTGAAGGAGAAGGGGTAGAGAATGGAATGAACAGATTCGCTGTGCTGAGGAAGAAGAGAAGTGAGCTTCGCAGGTTGCAAAGAGGCAAGAAATCACAGAGAAGAGTAAAAAAAACCCTAAAAATAGGGCAGAAACAACTCGCCCAAGATTGCAGATTCCACAATTTCATGAGGAAGATTGTGTGCGATCCCAAAGATCCCACCAAAACGAGTTCCAGCCCAGGATCAGGATCCTTGGACCTGCAGCAGATCGTAAAATCGTATGATTTTACGTGTTAACTCGCGAATTTGACTACCATGGTAATAGGGATTTGCTCCCCAAGTATGTTCTAATCCCAACAATGCTATCTCACTCTTCTGTTCAACAGATCCACTGCTAAAAATTTTAATAAATAAAGCAATCAAATGAATTGCAGCATAATCTGACACATGCATCCGAGGATCCTACTTATAAGGAAAATAAAATATCTTTATCACAAATAAATAAATAGGAGCAGTCATCCACTTCATTCTTTCTCATGTTCCAAATTAGATTGAACTTTTTGAGATGGAATTATGCTGCGGAAATTGGAACATTAATGCACACTCATACCAAATCTGGACGAGAGTTTGTAGCTCCAAGGACAGCATGACGGTTAGGTTGATTTTCAACATCCCAAATAAGGACCTGACATTTTAAGAGTTAAAAATAAGAAACGACAAAACCAGGTATAGACTAGTTCCAAACAAATAAAAACCGAAAGTAAACGGTAAAGCTCTTACATCTGGGCTGTCCGTGTGTGTGGCCACTATCTTGGAATTTTGGGGCAATTCTCTAATTCTATTCACCTACAAAACAAAGCCTGATCAGATCACATCCCAATCATCAACATAATGAAATCAAGGCAAAATATAAATCAGCAATGAATAGCCATAAATAAACATAAAATCAAAATCACAGCAGATTAAGGAACAAAGTTATCATCCATTCATCTTCAACAGCTATGCTTCAAATGCACCCAGTTTCTAGCCTATCCATCAGAGTAAACAGCTAATATATATACCTCGCCTGGATGTATGATGGTCTTGTACTTCTTCACAAATGGTGAGCGAGCCTCTTCATTAAACTGAAACAAATAACACAAACCAAAATAAAATAAAATAAAATCCAAATGCTTAATTGAATCTCAGACCAAAATGCAAAAAACATTCATATATAAGAGACATCACAATTCACCTGTGAAATGTGCTCAGCAGCTGCAACCCTAGGCTTCACAACCTCACAGTTCGCAATCACCAGAGTATTCGGAACACTACCATCAGTCTACGAACAAAAAGCAAATCAATTTCATTTTTCAAAAAAAAAAAATCCTTTTTCCCCCTTTATTTCAATTAACCACAGCAGCATAGACCCATTACAAAAACTCCAAGCAAGGATGCAACAAAATTAATTTTCATCAAATAAAAAAAAGGTTTAATCTTTGATAAAATCAGAAGAAAAAATAAGTGTTGAGTACTTGCCTGCTCCGAAAGGTAGAGACGCTGGCGATTCTTGTAGGTAGCTTGTTCAAGCTGAGGGCCCCACCTATTAACATGAAACAAAATCGGGCGTCAAAGAACAGGAATTTTAAGAATGGAAAGGAAAAAGAGAAAACCCTAGAAAGAAAGAGAGAGAGAGAGAGAGAGAGAGAGACCGGCAAGAGAGAGAGGGCCAAACGAGGTTGTGGTTGGCGAGCCAGTCATAGAGAACGGGAACAAGGGACTTCCATTGAGTGTATTTCTCGTCAATGGAAGGTTGTTGTTGTTGCTGCGTCTTTCTCCCTTCCTTCATTGCTTTCCCATGTTGTTCTTCCTTTTTATCTTCCTTTGGCTTAGGTTTTCGACCCCTCGTTTCCTTCTTCTTCACGATGCCTTGTTGCGAAGGAGGAGTCTCCATCTTTTCTTCAGTGCTTGAATCACTCTACACTTCTACTCTCTGCTCTTACTCACTGCTCCCTCTCTTTCTACTCTCGTTTCATCTTCCACACCCTCAAGTCAAAAACCAGTTTGATGTCAAATAAATTAATGAAAACATCGCATGTCTTTTTTATAAGTGAATTTATTATTATTAATTAATTAGAACCTATGTATTGTTTGTGCATATAATATAAATAATGCCAAAATTTGGCCTTTCTTTTATATCATGCTTTTACTTTCTCTTAACCGAAGAAAAAAATAATTAAAAAAATGTCTGAATTTAGGGTTAAATTACTTTAATTCATTGTACATTAATAAATAAATTACGGTAAGTTATGCAATTTATATTATAAATAAGAAGGATAAATAAGTTATAACTTATTATAAATAAAATTTAATAAGTAATGTTTAGTATTAAAAATTATTATTTATGTTATTGATAAATTAAATTTATCAATATTATGTAATTTTTAATACAAAATTATTATAAATAAGTTATTATTATACATTATTTGCTAAACTTTAAATATTTGATAAAAATAATTAACTTTTCTATATTTGACTTAATAAAAAAGAGGAGAGAAATAGAAAAACTATATTTTATAGTACATTTTTATTACGTTCTTAATTATTAATTAAAAATTATTAAAAATATAAAGGTATAATTGATAAAAATAAAACTTAAACAAGTTTTTTATTTTAAAACATTTTTGTTATTAACAAAAAATATTTTAAAAATCATATTACTGATATCTTTAAAATAAAAATAGGCAATAAAAGAATTCTGATTAAAAATAAAATCTCATATTTATAATACAAATGTCAATTATTATCATTTTTAAAAAATAATGATGATCTAATTTATATAAAAAAAATATAGTATATATTTATTATTTGTATCATAAATCTTAAATTATCATGCATAATAAATGAAAAGATCCTAAATGTCATATTTAAAAAATTTATGAGGAAAATTGATATTTATAATAAAAAGTATATAAATAAATTCATAATTTAATATATGAATAAAATATTTTTTTTGGGTCGATACCAAAAAATGATACATTAATTGAAAAAAATAATAAAGTAATATCTTAATAAAGAATACTACAAATAAAAGAAATAAATTTTTTAATTAAAAATAAAACAAATAATTTGTAAAGAGTAGATTAGTTTGTTTGTTTTTTATATAAAGGCTTAATTTGTAATAAAAAAAAAGACTTAAAAATCATTTTTATAACTAAACATATTATTATAAATAATAATAAAATATTAATAATCTGTTATTATTAGTTAAATATGTGCAATATATGAAAAATTAGTTAGTGGTGCATATTAAAATTATGTAAAAGAAGCATCCTTATAACTAAAGAACAAGTAATAAATAATATTTTATTTTTTCCTTTCTTAGAAATTGGGATAAGAAACAATTAAGAAATTTAAAAAAATAAATAAATATATATATATATATTTTATTTTATAAATTATAAAAATTTGTTTCAATAAAATGCATGCTATATATATATATACATACACATACACGTGCTACTTTATTATTAAAATAATATTAAATGAAATGTTTATTTAATAAGAGTAAGAATAACAAATTTAAGATAAGAAATAATTAAAAGACTTGAAAATACATTTATTTTTTTTTATAATTTATAAAAATTTATTATATAATTGAAGTAAATGCATGCTTAAAATATATATATTTATTTACGCCACGTTTTAAGTATCAAATGAGATATTTGTTTATTAAGAGTGATAAAAATGAATATTAAATTTTATTATAAATAATTATGATTAAAGGATATAAATTATGTATTTTAATATTATTTTCAAAAAATAACCTAATCAACTTTTAAAGTTATTTAGATATTTTAAGTAAAATAGTTTTTTTATTTTTCTAAAATTAAAAAAGAAACTTAAGAATATTTATTTATAATAATTATATTATTTAATTATTAGTGTGATATTTCTGATATTTTATAAATTTTTTAGAATATTTTCTTATTTTTAGGATTTTTTAGTTTTGTAAAATTATTATCTCACTAAAATTTGTTCTAGATAGATTTGCATTGCTCTCCCTCTTCACATAATTAAAACGGACTACATATGACACCGGTTAGTAGAGAAAATGTGTCAAATCCTATTTACAACTTGTATTCGCTTGTCAAACTTCAAAGGACAAGGGCAGAGGAGCAATTCCTCTAGCATATTGTGAATTTGCAGATTAACAAAAATATGCACAAAGATAGTACAAAAATTGCACTGGCTCAATTGGAACCTGGTCATGACTTGAACATAATTCTATGTTCACTGACACTACCACCAGAAAGCCTTCTAATTATCTGCCACAACCGCTTGCTTCTTCCAGTTTTCAGTGGACCTGAATAAGAATGTCTTCTTCTGAATGATCCTGATACTTGCCTTCCAAATCTTGCTGATGAGCTGAATAACTCTGATGCTGACAACCCATTTTCAATATCAACTCCCGAATCATAGTTAGTCGCTGAGAATTGGCCTTGGAAATTATCTGATAGTTGTCTAGAATTGTTCAAATCAACAGATAAATCATCCTGGCTAGAACTTGAACCCGCTTCTCTTGCTTCATCACATTCATTGCATACAAGTTTTAAGGCCTGAACAACTTCTCCCATGAAAGGACGGTCTGACACCTCCGGTTGTACACACATTGAAGCAATGGCTGCAACTTTAGCCACACTATCAACAGGCACATCAGTTGCTAGAGATGGATCTATTATTGCTTCCAATCCTTCTTTGCTTGAGAGGAGTGGACGAGCCCATGCAACAAGGTTCTCTTGACCAGGAGGTTGTGTCATATCTACAGGTTTTCTTCCTGTCAAAAGCTCAAGAATAACAACTCCATAGCTGTAAACATCACTTTTCACAAGAAGATGCCCAGTCATTGCATACTCCGGAGCCACATAACTGAAATTAGTTTTCCAGATATGAAAGAAAATATATATCAGGGAATGTGTGATAATAAGAACTCAACAAGGAATTACAACAGTTCTACAATCAAAAGGAGTGTAGATATTGGGTTGAAACTAAGAGTTGGTTATAATAAAAGCAGTTGATATATTAGAAAAACAGGACTAAAACTAATAAGGATTAAATATCACAAGTATCACAATGGTCAGTCTATCATGCAATTTAGAGATGATAGATTTTTGTCCCTGATACTTCAATATTAGTCACACTGCTAAGTGGAGAACCCACATGCAAGATATAGTCAAATATCACAATTAATTACCAGAAATAGCACTCAACTCTATCTATTGCTTTACCTTTGCTTCTTCAAAAATAAATCTCATTTGAAAATTATTTCAGACATTAGAGCACCTTTAGCAGTAGAACCCAAATGGATTTTTAAATTTATTTTATGTAGGTCTCACAGTGTAACGTGTTTGAAGAACTTTCTTATTTTTTTACTTTAGTGGTAAAACTAAAGCTTAAGTTCTTGAATTACTATTTATAGTTTTCATCAAAATTATTATATTACTTGTTTAGAATTAAATTTAACAAATTTTAGGGAGGAATGCTTTAAAATATTTATTTTTTTGGGAAATAGTGTCACTATTCCTCCAGCGTGGAGCACTTTTGCTGGTGATTAATGGTAGTTTTTGCGGAGAACCAATTTTGGATTCAAGAACCATTCTCAAGAACTACCAGTAAAGATGCTCTTATACGAGTTCAAAAAATTATATATTAATATAAATGTCCACGGAAGATAATGTATTTAGATGTGGTGAAGAAATAAGTTCAATTTACCAATCTGATAAAATTCTAGTCTTCTAGATGTCTAGTTTCAACTTGACTAAACAACCTCCACCACCTCCACCAAGAGGACACTTCAAAATGTTACCCTTGTGCGGTGAGACACCAATTGATAAACTTAAAAAATATAATATTGAACACTGAAATCACACACAATACAACAATACACTTGCTGTCCCAGAGACAAAAGCCTCGTACAGAGAGTATTCTCCATCCACAAGCTACAAATGACAACACATTTGCCCAGTCACACACCCTATTATTAAAAATACTCCTAATAAATAAATGCCATTAGTTATTTTCTATGAATAATTGCCATCATGCAGTTTGTAATACAGAACTGCTTTCTACTATACAGGATAAGATATTTTCTATCACATATACTGCTAATCTAGCTCCAATTCATCAATGGATCCTTTCCTAACGCACTTGGATCTCAGTTCCCATTAGATATGTATCCACTTCAAACGCTTCTAAAGGCATTTTACAATTTTTTAAACTTTTACTTTTGAAACTTTTATACTAATACAGATGTGAATAACACAATACGTAATGGATTGTAGCAATTTGTTGTGTTTAGAATGGCTCATGCTTATTTTTAAAACGTCTATTCTCTCTTCTGATTTAAGATTTGTGTTTTATATTACTTTTATATTTATTTTACATGATTACAATTGTGTCCTATCTTATAATTTTTAAAACTGTCGCATCCCTATGTCTATATGGTATCGTAATTGTGTCCCATGTTGTGTCCAAGCTTTTAGACCTCTAATATTTATTATGTTGAAGTGATAGGCAAAACTCAAGGGTATTGAGGTTGTTAGATAACTAGAAGATAAGACCTTCCAATATAGAAGGAGAAAGTGAGGGAATTGTATACCCGAAAGTTCCCATAACACGTGTTGATATGTGTCTGCTTCTCTCATCAGCTGCTGTTCGGGCCAATCCAAAATCAGATACTTTTGGTGTAAAATCATCTTCCAGCAAGATATTGCTAGACTTGAAGTCCCTATGTATGACATGGGGACTTGAATCTTCATGCAAATAAGCCAGTCCACGAGCAGCACCAAGAGCTATCTTTATCCGAGCACTCCAATCAAGTGGGCTCTTTTCCTTGTCAACTCCTACCAGAAGACCAGATATAAGAAAACCATTAACTTGATGAACTAAACAATTGGAATGGTACTCAAGACTGAAGCAGCAAGCAGATGTAAGTACCATGTAAATGGGATTCCACGCTGCCATTTGGAATGAGTTCATAAACCAGACAGCGGAAGCTGACCTCTGTGCATATACCAATCAACTTAACCAAATTTCTGTGGTGAAGGCGGCTAAGCATCTCAACTTCAGACAAGAATTCACGATCACCGTGATGATCCTCTCTTTTTAGAACCTTGACTGCCACTTTTGTCCCATCTTCAAGGATACCACTATAAACACGTCCAAAACCACCTTCTCCAAGTACTCGAGAAGCATGGAACTTATCGGTGGCTTTCTCAATGTCATTCATGCTAAAAGTCTTGGCAGATCCTGCATAAGCAGCAATGCTAGATCGAAATGATGATGAAGTTGAAGCAAGCACACCTCCACCTAATGACCCAGTAGCACCTGGGAAATTCATACGTTGGTTTTGTAATAAGAAGGGCTGATAAATGATAAAACAATCAAGTTGACACGAAAATTGCATGAAAAGGAAACACTTAATATAGGAGTTCAATTTATTTAGTAATACAGTGTGAAAAAGAGCTTACTTATTTAAATTATTGCAATTAAATTTTCTTCTTTTGCATAGAATTCTGCCAACCATTGTTTTCCTAATTCTATTAGATGAGACAGATACTAAAAATAAGGTCTGTAACCTGTAAATGCAGCGCTTCTCTCTCTTTTTCTATGGTGTAAAATATAGTGTTGTTTTATACAATCCACCTAAACAAATTTTGTTACAGGAAAAAATGCAATAGTTTACCAGATGATAACACACTACTACGTGTATTACCTGGTGTTTTAGCAAGGGAGGGTGGCAAAACCCGTGGGGTTGATGTTGGTTGACTCGTATGATCTCTGCACTTGAGCAAGGCCCAAACAGCAGCAACACATAAAACAAATGCTAGAAAAACTGAAAGAGCAATAATAGCTATTATTCCCTTGCTAAGTCCACCTTTATGCTGCCTCTTTGGTATGTCAACCCCAAGTGGCTTTATTGTCCTACCATTACTGCCACCACTTGAATATGGACCACCATCTATAATGCTAATGCTTGAAGGTGGTAATGGAGGAGATGGAGGTAAACCTGTATTAAGAGGATCCCATAAAATTTCTAACCAGAAGAGTCATGAAGATAATACAAGACATTCAGAATTTATATATACCTGGATAGCTCACATATAACACATCATATTCACCAAAGTCTGAAGTCTTTATAACAACCTGTTTGTGCCAAAATCTTTCAGAAGTTAAAAAGGCTGTAGTGTTATCAAATTCTTCCCCAAGAGGTACCAAATCAATGAGGACATCAGTTTTATCTTGTTCCTGGCCTGCCGCATTGGCTCCCATAATGCGAACTTGACTTTGCCTCATGAAAACCCCAGTGGCAATTTCAGAAGCAAGCTCTGAAACCGAAGGGAAGAAGGTATACAGAGAAACACTAAGGCGAAGACCAACTTTCATGGGCCAGACACATCTGCAAGGTGCTCCAGGTGGAGAATTTGTATAGGGCTCTGAGCAAACCGTTGACAAACAATCTAAAAAACAAAGAATGGACATGTAGATCAGTTTGATATATACAGTCAGAAAAATCCAAAAAGAACTCATATTAGCATATGTATCTCCTTGCTAGAGATAAAACAAATAAAGTACTAACCTTCATTGGGAGGTGGGGGTGGCAGTGCTGGAACATGAGGCAAGACTGGCTTCTTAGGTCTCTTAAATGAAGGCCGAGAAGGAGATACTCTAGGAGGAGATACTTTAGGAGGATGAAACGGAACTTGCAATAACAAACACAGTGAACGGATGCAAAAAGGATAAGTACGATAATGAAAAGATAATATTTTCTAAAATATTTGTAATGAGTATGGAGTTTTAGCTTGTCTTACTTTTGGTTGGAGAAGGAGCAGGATAAACCTGGCTCACTGGTGACTGAATTGGGAAACTGAATGGTGAGACTGCGGGACCTACCATGCAGAAAAGCTTCAGTACTTAAAACTTCCTTTATTTACTGAAAGTTCACCAGACTAATACTATATAGGTACCTGTGTTCATTGGTGGTGGAGTATGAGGTCTTTGTCTACTTGGTTGCAATGTGGGAGGAAATGGTTGATCTACATAAAATAACCGAACAAAAAATATATATTTCATTGTGGTGAGTAAGCTTAATTTGTGGAACAACTCAGTCGATCAGTTAACAAACCAAACCTCCGAGTTTCGAAGTGGGAGGAGAAACCAAATATGTTGATGCAGGAGCAAGGCTGGGGATTGTTTTCCTTGCATGGTGGTGCTTATAAACTGTAGTTGAATGTGAAGACGTGGGAGAATGATCTTCTTTGTTAAAAGGAGATTTAGGAGATGAAATCAGTGGCTCAGGAACAGGCTGAAATTGCCTCGCTTTATGTGCAGCAGGAGCTACATCAGAAAAAAAAAAGATAAATAAATTAACTCATCATGCGTCTATATAGAAATATATTCGTTTAGTGCTTGTTTTATTAGTTTTAATATTTAAATTTCTTATTCACATTGTTTTCCATCAGCTAAAACTTAAGGTTGTGGACAGTCAATTCTTGAACATGGTAAAAAAGAATGGTTGTGCATAAGATCATTTTAAATATGGTAAAATTACATTTTCAAAAGAATTCTAGCATGATGGCAACTTTGTATTTGTTAGACAAAAAAATCATTCCTGTGCCTTCACCTAAAAAAAATTTGCGCTTTTATCAGAGTTGATTTTCACATGATATTAGAGCTTTTATGACCAAGTGATCATGAGTTCTTTGCCATGTCCATTCAACATAACTAAGTAGAATCAAAATACACGGTGAAATGTTTTGGTGTATTGTCCACTTTTCAAGCTAAAAAAACTCTAGTGTGGAGGAAAGTATTAGAGATATAAAATCATCCTTGGTCCTCCACCAGCTTAGGTTTTTGGGAGTGTAAGTCTCTGACAGAATACTCTATCAATTTTGAAGTCATGCTGTTAGTACAATGAGCAATTTTCAAGTTAAGCATTTGCAATTCATCAAAAGTAGTTTAATGTTCCCATATACCTTGAGCAGGGGAATGTACTACAGCAGGTAGTGGCTTTGGTGTTTTGTACAGAGGTGCAGAAACTGGTTCTCCACCTTTCTTCCAGCTGAAGCTTCTGGAAGGTGTCAATGCAGGAGAGACAACAGGTGCTGCACCACATGTTTTGTGCCAATTAAGTTTCCGTCAATTGAAGAATGATTGATTCTGTTAGTACAATGAGCAATCCTCTAGTTAAGAATTTGCAAGTCATCAAAATTAGTTTAATGTTACCACATACCTTGAGCAGGGGAATGTACTATAACCGGTAGTGGCTTTGGTGCTTTGTAAAGAGGTGCAGAAACTGGTTCTCCACCATTTTTCCAACTCAAGCTTCCGGAAGGTGTTAATGCGGGAGAGAGAACAGGTGCTGCACCATGTTTAATGTCAATTAAATCAATTAATGCACAATAGCATTAACATAAAAGATATTATAATAATCTGCAAATGTTGAAAGGTGAACACTCTAGAATGATAGTTACAGACATTTATATGTTGAAAAAATAATAAAAAATTTAAAAGAGATTCTTGGAAAAATATATTTCAAGTTAAGATGCATGTGGATAGCAGTAACTAAAATAAATTTATTTGAGGCTACAAATTCTTTTGCATGTTTAGTAGTAACTTTGTGGATTTAGCACATATAAAGTGAAAAAGAGTGTATAGTTAGAAAATAAGGGATACTTCATCCCTTGATTTAAAAGATCCAAGCAAGAGTATGTCTTTTATCAGATGTATAACCCGTATTTCTCAACTCATTGTCATATTATTATGTGACATTGAAATGAGATATATATAATCAGATCTCTCTCTGGATCATCAACAACAATAGTACTTCAACAGCAACAAAGGAACAAAATATACAATTATACATAAGATTGGGCTTTAAACCTTCATCATTTGAAGAGTAGAGGACTGTTGATGTGGCAATAAAAAGAGTAAATGATTTAACAGAAAAATGCAACTTTAACATATTTTAAAATAAACAACAATATCAATTGAGGGAGGAGGGGGACAATATAACATAACCCTTTCTCAAAATTTTCACCTGGTAATTTGGAAGGAGACGCTGCTGATATGACTGGATGGACCAATGGTGGTTCTATGGGAAGTGAACTACTCGGTGATGTGACTGGTGCTGCATAATTTTTTTCTTAAAGGAAAAAAAATGAGACAAAAGTGATAATCTGATAAATTTAAGATTTGATATTTTATCTTTCTCCCTTCTTTCATTAAATAAAGTCATAAGATATTCCAGGTTACATGGATAGAGTTATTTTTGGTAAAATAGGGTGTCCTACTCATTAGTTATTTTCCATTTTCTATGGTGGGGATGCAATAGATTTTGAGCTTTAATGAAAAATAAGTTTAGAATCATAACAGATGAATGCTAGAAATGATTAGATAAGAGTCATAAGACTATATAACTTCGTGGCATTTCTGGTGCTTGGGTGTCAGTATGGCCATTATTTGCAGTTCTATCCAACATTAGGTGGAATTTTTTTATGATGAGTTGGATGGCTGAATGGTGAATTTTTTGGCAAATTTACAGGAGGTATTGCAACTGATGCTGTTCAAAATGCCATAGAATTGGAGATTTGATGTCAATATCATCTGGAAATTAGAAATGAAAAAAAGGTTACAAAACCATCAAGTGAAACTACCTTGTGAAACTGGCTCCAATGAGTGACCTGTGTTGTTATTCCTCCTTCTATGAACAGTTAGAGGCAAACTTCCATGATCAGTTGGCTGACTCACTGGTGAATGTTTGGGCAAATTGAATATGACAGGGGCTGTTCAAAATGCATTAGAAGATCATATTTTAGGCTCAAAATCAACCGGAAGATGGAGATGAGAAAAAGGAAATTTCAGAAGTAATGTTATTTTGATCACATGCCTGGTGAAAGCAGCTCTGGGGTGTGACCTTTATTTGCACCCTCTCTGTGAGGCAAACTTCCATTTTCAGTTGGTTGAATTGCTGGTGAAATTTTGGGCAATTTGGTAGAAGGTAGTTCAACTGGGGCTGTTCAAATATTCAACAGGAGAGCATATTTAAGGTCAATACCAACCGGAAGCTGGATGATGAAATGGAAACCCATCCTTAAGAGTTCCAACTACATGACAACACTTTTAAGTTTTTATCACAAACCTCGTGATATTGGCTCTTTCTCATGACTATTACTTTCATTCCTCTTATCAACCTTAGGAGGCAAACTTCCATTTTCAATTGGTTGGCTGATTGGTGAAGTTCTTGGCAGATTGCTAGAGGGTATTACAACAGGAGCTGTTCAAGAAACAATACAAGAGTAGAATTTGGGTCAATATCAATGAGAAGGTTCCCCTTGTAGAAGAAACTGCTCAGTCATGTACCTGGAGCAGATGGTGTGGGTATAGGAGGCCTAACATCAGGTGTTATCCTTTGAGGTGGACTTGATTGTATGGATGGTGTCACATTCCCTTTATCAGTTGACGGTGCAGGAGCAGCCTTATACGGTGGTGATGATGTTATGGTGCTTGTACTAGGACTGGGAGATACAGATGGATCAAATCCTTTCACCTTCTTAGGAGTTGGAGCTGATGCAGCAGGTTGTAATGTAACTGGAGGGTGCAAGAATGACCCTGGAAGATCAAAACCCAATTTTATGGTCAGATGATCCCCATAAGAGAGTATATTTGGTTACACGTTTACATGGTCACATATATACATTTACTTCAACGCTACTAATTTATGTTAGATATAAGTTTACAGGTTTTTCAACGTGTTTCCAAACACACATTTATGTTGTAAAGCTTGGTGCAATGGTTCTCTTGAGTGTAAAAGACTAGATTACCATTTGGTACTTCTGGAAAGCTTGGTGCAATGGTTCTCCATGGTTCTCTTGAGTGTAAAAGACTAGGTGCTTTACTTGGGGAAGAATTCACAGGTAAGTTTGCTGGAGATGGGGATATAACAAACCCTGAAAGAAGGACAGAAGTATCAAACACCAGAAGAAGCCACTAGGAATAAATAATAATCAACTTTAAAATAATAAAAACTCAAACCCATTTTGTATGACATATTTAGATTTAGATTAGATGTACCATCTGGATCTGAAGGTGAGCTTGGTGCACTGCTTCCCAATGACTGTCCATGATGGACAGGACCAGGTGCTTTTTCTCTAGGATGAATGACAGGAAGAAATGATGGAGATGGGGATATAATAGACCCTTGAATAAGACATTTATCAGTTGGGAAGCCAAAATTTTCATGGGAGAAAAAGAAAAGTTTTAACAATTTTTTTATCAGCAAGCTCAAAATTATCAAATATCAAATCAGATGACATAGACTAATTAATTGGGCAAGCATATGGGCTCACATCAGCAATATCTTCTGTTAACATTTTGAAATCTCGGTAATTCTTTCTCTTCTGGTTGGGTTTATGCTTTGTAGTGTATCTGGATAACTAAATTTGAAATAAAAATAAAGGATCTCTTTCCAATTTAGGGGAAATTTTTTAAAGAATTTAGAAATTATCTTTCTACATATACAAATTTAAATATTGAAGCCACTAGATTCTAAAGGAACAAACAAGACTTTAAAGAGGGATAAGAAATCAATCCACATGCAAAAAGCACCTTCACTAGAAGAACCTCTTTGGTTTTAAAATGATTATGGGGACTATAAAAAATCAATCCACAGGCAAACGTACCTTCACCAGAAGAAACTCTCTAGTTTTAAATGTCTACGGGAGTTGCAAGTTACGACCTGGTTAAACCAGTAAAATGTACATGCATCTATTTGTATACTATGTTTAGCAGAGGAGAATTTCCCATATAAAGCAATGATTACAGATAGAAAATTCAGTAATTATCGATTCAATCTATTGTGAGCAGCCAATGTACTTTGGTGCTAATGGCACATAGGCTCACAAGACTTTAAGTTGTAACAGCGGATTCAAAATCCACCACCAGCTTGCCTTATGTTTAATATATTAAAACCAAATTTATATTTTGTAAGCAAAGCAAGTATGAAGTTTTGAACAAATAATTTTATTGCAAACTCAGCAATAGTGTCAAGTTTTCTATGGTATTATTACTACTATTATTATTATTATGACAACTTAAGAACCATGGATGCTGATCCAGATCATGTTCTAGCCTAGGAACAAGTTTCATCATAATCTGCGACAAACTCTGGCTAAAATTTATAAAGAGATTAACTTCAACACAGAGTTCTAAAAATTATATACCTACCTTCGGATCCTTGGAGTGTCACAACAAAGCCAATGATGCAAAGATTCACTAGCTGCGGAAGCAGTGCTAAAATCACCCTCATCTCCAAACCAATCCCCGAAGACAATAACCTCCCAAAAAGTGATTCAAAACGATCACAGGATAACCAATAAGAGGGAAAAAAAATAACAGATTTACAAGTTGATAGCTTGAAGCAAGAACAAGCAGAGGTTAAATTGAAGACGACCCACACATAGTAACACCAAAGCAACGAGAAGAAAGGTTATGGAGCAAGGCAGAAGAGTCTTTGGTGAAAAGGGCAAGAGCCAAAACAAGTGTATCTTGAGAACTTGTTGAGCTCATGAATTGGCATAGACAGAGTTTAGAGAATTCCATGTCAAAGTTAGAAAAAAACTTGAGACAATAAACTAGAAAGTGGAACTATTTCTTCCACTGGAGTTGGTAACTAGATCAAGTTTGAAATTGATGCAAAACAATAGAAAAATATGAACTTTGTGTATTGCACAATCCACTAACACTTGAAGGAAACTCAAGAAAGGAAAAAGTGAAGTAACAGAACCTTTCTCAGAGAGAGAGGCAGTTGGGGTGGGGCAGAGAGGCTTAGGAACAGAACAGTTTTAATATTTGTACTAAAAAAAAATATAAAATTGTATACTTTGTATATTTTAATTTTTTTGCTTTACTAATTTTCAATGGGAAGGTCAGATTTGAGATTGTGTTGTTGTGAATAGAGGATAATTACCAAACTTTTCTTTGATTTGAGTTCAATGGAGGTTGCCTAGTTGCTTTTCTTCTTCCCTTTGGGCAGCTCTTGTTGCCCATCTTGAGAAAGTGATTTATTGATAGTAAGGTGTGCCATGTGGCAAAATCTTATTCTGATACCCCATTTCTCATCCCCACATGATCTCAGATTAGTTAATGGTTAAATTGACTTTTGCAACACATAATAAATGGTCATCAATTAAGTTATTGGTTATAAACTTTTTTTTTAATTTATATATATTTATTACTTTTTCTAATGTTAACACTTTTCATTTTAAATTACAGTTTTTTTTTTTGGAAAAAAAAAACAAAGGATCTAATTCAATCATATTTGTGTTAACAGAGTAGAAAGATCATGATTTCATGATTTCAATAAAATGGATCGCAATAGAAAATAATTAATTAAGTGTTTAACTTAATTTATTAAAATTTGTTAAAGACAGTTGTTAAAAAATTAATAAATAATAAATTTAATTAAAAATCATGTTAAAAATATATGAAAATTATGCTAAAAGAGTATTAAAATTTCTTTTAAACTTTTAACTAGTATCTTATAATTAGTATTTGCCTAACTTATTATAGAAATTATAATTTATTAAAAGAACATTTTTGAAAAACAAATAATCATGGAACGATCAAACTCGTTAATTCACCTTGAAATTTTAGTTTTATTAACAAGTTGCATAGAGTGGTGAAGAGTTCATTGGAAAATAAGCGGAAAATATGGCACCCATGACATTAGTATGTAATAGACAAAAAGCAGAACTTTAGGAGCAATTTTATCAATTTCTGAGACGATACGAAATCAGACAGCAGCAATGATCCCATTAAGAGTTTTATTTTATGGCATTTGGCAGCTCATATTGCACTATCCAATTATCTTTTCAGGTTGATTATTGCCTAACTGTTACCCAATGTACTTTTTATCGATCACCGCATTTGTAATCTGTACAACCCATAATAATAATCATAATAATAAATCAGACCATGCTACATAAATATTTAATAATTTTATTAATTATGTATTACAGAATTTGTAAAAACATCTACATATCCTAATTTGACAGAAACATTTTATGGGGGGCACAAAGAAATTAAAATTTTTTTCAACCAATTTTCATCTGATGGACGATTTACAAACATTACAGTAAACTTTGATCAAGGTGATGTTTCCTTTTCTAATGTTTTGATTTTTAGAAAAAGAAAGCTTCTGAGAACGGAATCAATGCAATAAATTCCTGTCCCAAAATCATGTATTCTTGAGGTGCATATGACAATCACCCAAATAGAAAAATAAAAATTGAATGAAGTGTAGAAGACAAAAGCATAGTCATTGATGGGATATGAAAGAAAGTGGTACATGAATGAGAGTGAGTGAGACACTCATTAATTACATAGAGGGGACCCAAATAGGGGGTGAAATAAAGGCCTCTCAGGAAGGGTAGTGTAGATTAGATGGCTAGCAGTGAGTGATGGCTTTCTTGGATTGTAGTGTAAGGGCAATGGCCTCAAAATGGTGGTAGTGGTGATGGAACAGTGGTGCTTAATCTTTTGCTGTCCACATGCACCATTGTAACATAACAACATTAAATGGTGTAGGGTCCATATGCAAACTCTTGTTTTTACCCATTTTCTTATAGAAACTTGTCTCTCCAAACACTAATTTATTTTATAAATGGGACTCAGTGCCCACATGTGGTTTCAAGCTTCCAAAGGCAACACAACACCCCTTATTTAGGGACACAATGACAACTCATTTGAAGTTGCATCATGACAATTTAAAATGTCATAGCAGCATTTTCTTTCTTAAAGACAGCATAATACAACACCTAACCTGAATTTTATTATAATATAAAACTTCCTTCTCTTTGATAACAATTTTTTATGTAAATAAATATTTCATCATTTTTCATGAAGATTTGTCTCTATCATCAAAAACTTCAAAAATTATTATTTTTTAAATTAAAAGAGTCTGTTTATTTTGAAGTTCAACATGATAAAATTTGATAAATTCAATTTTAAATCATTAATGTAATTAAAATATATATATATATAGATCAAAATTAAATTTAATTATAAATGTGCGTTAAAATATATGTTTTTATTCCAAATATAGGAAATAATTTTTTAAGTTTAAATTAAATAGATACAAATTGGTCAAACAAGATCACATAATGAATTTCAATTGTTTGGACTGAGTTTATATAACTTATAGTTTAACTGGTGCTCATATAAATTTATTAGAAGATTAATCTTTCACTCTGTATAATCACAATTATAATTTCAAATGCTTTTCAATTCTGATTTGTTACAATATTATAATTTCGTGTCACAATTACGAAAACTATACCCTTTTGTTTGGATCCATGTGCAAATTATACCTTGAACTAGCTAAATTTACACTACGACCAGGATAGTGAAAACTACCAAACATTCTTGACAACCACCAACAGCCTCCCTCAAGTATCGAAATGGTATTCATGTCAACAAACATCATTTGCCTGCTCATTAATCTCCACAAAATATGTCGTGACTCACAAAGCACAAAGTGAAACACATTCATATGTTTTTTTTTCACGTTTATTTAAGGACATATTAATAAATAGTAAATTAATATTATTAATATATTAAATATATTGTAATATTTTATAATTCTTAACAATATTATTAAATATACATTTTTATTATACATCCTTAATTAACATGGGTAAAAAACTAATCCATATATGAAACATATATATATATATATATACAGTGTTATTTGAATCTAGTCTACTTGTATTATTTTATTTTAGGCAAATTTGTCTGATCAATCGTATTAAATAAAAAAAAGTGAAACCCACATATTTTTTATTTTTAATAAATTTTAATTAATAATTATGAATATGTTAATAAGAGTATATTATTATTTTTTAAAACCATAAGTTATGTGGAAGGAAACAAACAAAGAGGAATATAACTACACAATATGGTCCACCTAATCTTTGAAAATACTCAATATTTTTACCTTAATTTTCAAGTCCATAACCCCACTGAAAATATATATGTACTTGCAAACTTGGATTGGCAGTTCAAGAGGAACAAAGTTGCGAGTAGAATGTGGTGACACAACACACTGCATGTCTCAAAAGGTTTCCTTGGCATCCCTTGGTTTTCTTGCTACTTACTCCACCCTCTTACTCCTTTTAATTTGATCAATTCTATTCTTTATCAGTTGACACTATCCATTATTACTGTTTTAGCATATACTTCTTTGATATGGCGTTGCCTCAAGGAAGCTCAACCTAGTGTGCAATTTTTCCTACGAGATAACAATCACGTTACCAAGGGAAGAAGGGGACCAGCATAAAAGTGCTTCATCCAATGATTCAAACCATGTGCAAGAACGAAAACGAGTTAACTCAATTTTAATGTAGAATTCTTATATATTACACACATAGCTTTAGGATCTTTCTTTTTTCTAAGGCTGAAAGACACGTGCTTTTGAAGAACATTCCTCACAGTAGTTGAGTTGGCACCTTCCTACAAAGCTGAATTTCGAAGAAACCTCTATAAAATATTTTACTATAATTTGGCCCATCAGTGTCTTGCATCTTGAAAGGTTATACCTAGATGTAACCATGTGTATAATATTTTTTAATCATATTTTTAAAAAGAAAAATGAAGAAAAATCTTAACTTCAGTGTCTAACGATGAGTAACTAAAAGTGATAATTTTTTATTAAGAAAATAAATATTTATCATTGTAAAAATAAAAAGTGTAATAATCGATGTTACATTTTTGTAATAAAAATGACTATTTTTCGATTCTTCAACCCAAGTTAACAAAACTATTACAAAAAAACGGTACATTAATGTTTTTTTTTCAATGTATTCAGTATTTTTTTATCATACGTATTTTAAATCCACCCAAGCTGTTTGTATAAGTATGTTTGATTATGTTATGCAAAGATTATTATTTTTAGTACATCATACTGTTTACTAATTCTTTAGATGGAAGTAATTGTATTAATGTATTACTCAATATATTTTGTTATTATTAGCTAAAATTTATTATAAAAAGTTTGTTTTTATTTAATGAATCTTCTCATAAATTTATAAATTTGATTTAATAAAGGTATAAAAAGTGTAACACTAAATGTGTTAACGACAGTTGTTTTTTCTTCGTTGGTTGGTCCAACAAAGCTGATTCAGCAAAAAGTGTGGGGGTGAAAGGAGATAGCATCATAAACAAATCCTCCCACTTGTGAAAATTTGCGGGCAACCACCCCTTCCATACAAGAACAAACTTGAAGATTTTAACATGAAAGTTCCTTCAAAGATAAGATAAAAAGTATGGGTTTTCAAGATCATTAAGAAAATGTTAAAACAAATTTACAGAAATTTTGAACAAAGAACCAAACAAACCCTAATAGGTGTACAAATTGGTCTTAATCAAGTGCACAACTTGCACTATTTTCACCAACCAATAATTATATTACTTGATGTAACCTATATTATACTTTTTTAATCTGAAGTATAATTTCGGAAAAGTGATATGATGATAAAAGAAAAGTAAAAAACAAATTATATGTTAAGGAAGTGCATTTTGTTTTTATTCCTGTATTGATTTTGTGCATTAGAATGGTGATGATTTAGAAATGAAAGGTGATAGGTGGACTATGAAGTAAAATCTTTTATTATCAATACATCTCAATCGTATGCATGTGGTACTTCTTCTTTGTCAATAGTTCCACAAATATACATTAAGGCCCAAAGGTATCCTAAAATGGCAGCCCTAAAAATTGACCATCTTCAAAACTCGTGAATGAAAAGAGACCAGCCCACAAGAATAAGGAGGGTAAGTAGTGGAT